AGATGCACCAGTATGTATGTGTGTGTGTGTTACCTGGGTTCCATTAAATGCACAGAGCCGAACATGCCTGCTAAGGACCTGTAACCCGACCCCAGGGGGAGGGATCATTCTACAGCTCCACAGGGTCAGGGTTAAACTCACTCTAGATGGGCGCCCGTGAACCTGGACAGACACACAGTCACCTTATAAATTTATAATAATAATAATAATAATCCATTCAATTTATATGGCACTTTTCTCAACACTAAAATAGCATTATATATTGGTCGGGGGGAATCTCCTCAACCATTCAACCATCCACTTGAATCCCCGTCACTATATATATATATATATATATATATATATATAAACATTATAATATTTTTTTTCCTTCATATAATTAAATTAATATTTTGAAGGTAAGACAGCACAGGGGAATATGGTAAATAGCCTAATTAAGCCATAACTAAAACATATCACAATATTTCCCCAGTTGGTTGATTACAATAAGAATTGCAAACATTTTCGTGCTCAAATCTTGTTTCGAGAACAGAAATCAGAACATTGGATAAGCAAGGTTTAAAATTCTTGTTTAATTTTATTGTCATATTAGAGTTAAAGGTAAATATGCAGGATTTTTGCAGTAAAATATCCAAAAGCCAGTAGGCCAATGTTATATATTTAGTTTAGTTGATTACTTACAATATCCCAAATGTTTCCAACTATTTGTAAATCATGAGAAAATTGTGATTTTAACCAAGGAAAAAGGGGCATAAAAATCACCAGAACATAGGAATAAAACTGTAACGTTTGGTGTAAGTGCTAATGAAGTGGAGATTTGAGACTCAAAGTGCAATAAAATAAACACATAAAAGTGTATTATGGATGTTTTCCTTCCACTACTCTGAGACTTTATAAACAGCCAAACAGCCCAAAAAAAATCACAAAATTGGCCAGTGCATGAAAATAAAAAAATAAATTAAAAAAATCTATGTGCCTGTAGTGTCTTCCCTTTAATAAATGTAAATATTTTGTTAGATTTTTGTCAATGTAGCTAGTGTTTGCTTTGAGGTTAGGTACCTTGCCTGTGTCTGGGTCCATATGGAGATCTTGAAAGGAGAGTTGCGATTGGCTAAGCTTGGGCTGAATGAAGTGACTTGCTCTGTAAGATGTCCCTACTCGGCATAAACACACATTCATGTATAATACAAGTATAATATACTATTTTAAAATCTGAATTCTTACCAGATGTTATAATGTAGTATATAAATCACACAAACTGCCTTCTGGTGAACTAAAAAGTGTAAATGGCCTTCTATGTATAGGTTTTTGCAAAATATAGTGACAGATAGTGACCTTCTTCTAGGTGTCTGGAAAGATTGGAAGGTCTGAAGCCTGGAGGGATGGCACCCATCGCTGACAGCACATCAGTAGCATCTATCTGCAGACACAACACAAACACGGTTTAGTTTGTGTCTGTTAATATATATAAAACATGGGTGCATTAGTATATAGATTATTAAATCGGAGTTATAAAAACGGAAGTTGTGATTTTTCTACGATATATTGTGAGTGAAACGGCTTCATGAACAAGAAAAATATGTAGGCAGTACTTGTTTTTTTTGTTTTTTTCCATTGGGAATTGGGACATTGGGAATTAGGAATATCCTTGGGATTGGATCGGTGAATCTCATGTGAATGACAAGTTGTCCCACCCACGTTAAAAAAAGAATTGAAAAGATAGGGAATGATGGAAATGAATGCATGTTTTTATATCTGTATGTAGGTATGAACGGTATATATACAGTATATTTACATTTTTTTCATTCTTCTCTTTTCATTTTTTCACATACAAGATTGAGGTAAACATGCACAACACAACCTAGCACCTACACTTCACATCTAAAACCTGTGTTTGTTTTCAGGTTTGTTTTGTATTTACGGTGCTGTCCTCCTATGTTTTGTCTTATGTCCTGTCATACAAATAAAAGAAAAATAGAAGAGTCGTTGTAAGAGGAGGGAAAGTTATTTTGATTAAAGATTACGAAGGCAGTTCAAGGCACAATAATGAAAAAAATGAATATTATTGTGCACAGATAAATTATTTTTAAATAATACTGCAGTATTCCATAAAAAAAATAAGATTAGTACATTTTGTTTTCATTGTGAGTTTAAGGACATAATTATCCAAATAAAATATACCTCAGTAACAGCCTTCCGGACTGTGTTCCAATTGGATGTTTTCCTAGTTGGAAAAGAGACAGTATTTAATTATTTTATAAATAAAGACTTTATTTTAACTTAAACTTGTGTTTAATTCATCAACTGGAATAAATTCTGTACTATATTCACTACACTTTAACAAAGAAAAACCTGCAAAAAAACATAAGAAAATTGTTAAAACAATGCTGCTCTCTAGTGGAGAGAGAGGGGATATTACCTGGACTTTATATCAGACTCCTCCTGTTCCTCCTCACTCTCTTCCTCTTCATCTTCATTCTCTCTCTCACTATCCTTCTGAGAAGACTGAGAGATCAAATACATCTGCAGATGTCATTCACCTATGTTAATATATCTAAATACTGGTTTCCTATGTGATTGCAAAATATATAAAAGAGTTTAAAATATATGAAAAACACACACATAAAAAAACACTTGAGTTGTATCTGTGAAATTATACAGACCTTGAGGAAAGTTTTAGGCACCAGGCCCTTCTGGCCATTTGAGTTCTGAGCCAGCCACCATCCATCCTTATTCTTAGAGATAACTTTCAAAACCTCTCCTTTCTGACACAACACACAAAAAAAATAATTTTCTCAATGCAAGAAAATTATTTTTTAAATTTAAGCATTTAATAACTAAAATAAGATGCATAGATGATTACCTGGATGCTGAGGTCCCCTTCCTCCTCTCCTGTAAATGCACTAAGAGCAACATAGGAAACAGTTTCCTGTCCTGTGGCAGTTTGACCGATATCTGTATCCTCGTCATCACTGTCAGCATCATCATCATCATTTTCATAATCATCATGTGCTTCTTCCTCTTCTGTATCTTCATCTTCAGAGCTCTCATCTTTTTCATCACTATTTTCCTCATCGCTTTTCTGTTCTGTCTGGGAAGAACTAGGTCCGGCTATCCTACGGCCAGAAAACAAATACACCAGTGCTGTTTGAAAATTCTTTTCCAAAGCATAAAGGTTTATCTAAAATTGGTTCAATGTTTTGAGTAATAGAATGTAAAAAAAAGGCTGTAAACTCCGATAGAATGAATTTATGAGGTTACTTACTCATCCTGAGGTTTCAGCTGAAGAGCTAGAGACTGCAGACGCTCATTCAAGCTCAACAAACGCTTCTCCTCGTCCCTCTTACACTGGTCATAGTTCCCCACTGGAGCTGGCTCATCTGCCTACACGCATGAAAAAATAAATAAATAAAATAATATATAATTCATATAAGATATATTGACAATACAAGTACACAGGTACACAGGCATAAAGATTTACTTTAGACAATTTCTTCAAAGTCTTCGTAATTTCCTCCACTGCGAGCTTTAACTCTTTGCACCTGGAATGCAAACAACATAAATCAACTTTGATATAGTGCTATGCAATTACGTTAGAACTCAAGTAACAGTTAAACCTGTTTTAAACCTTTAGTAGACGTTCAAAAGCAAAACAGAAGTCTTCTGTACCTCTCAAAGGCCTCAGTACAATCTGACGCATCTGGTTGAGCAGCCTGCTGTACCAAAGCATCCACCTGCAGGACAGAATAGAATAAAGATATAATGTAAAAATCGAATGCGCACCAGCAAACGAACAAACATTCGCTCCGATCAGTTCAACCTTTCTCTTGATGACATCCGTTTCTCTTTGGACCGTCTGAAGTGGTCCTCTCTTTTTTAGAGGCATCTTCTATTCGTCTTCAACACAATAAGACAGCAGGTTTGACTCAAATGGTGTTTTAAATGCGAGATTTAAAGAAACGTCCCACTCGTGCTCACTGCTCAGATTTACTGAAACAAGCATAGACAGTATGGATGGAAACAAGACGCAACGGCGACGCCATCATAGACGCTCTGGATAAGTTGCTAAGATACTTTGCGTGACGTTGTTATTACCTCATCACTGCGCGCGCGATAATCTGTGAAATTTATTTTGAAACTTATTTTATTTGGTAAATTTCACATGACTTGTCTAAATCACGTTTTAATGTTTTTTTTTATTATTATTATTATTTATAACTAGTCATTTAAATATGTGTAAGCAATAAGGTACGAGGCCATGAGGCGGTTCCCTGGTTCCGCCCACTGATTTATGTAGAATGACATGTCATTATATAGACCAGTGGTTCCGCCGCTGCCGCTTCATTCCTGCTTTGGGCTGTGATGGTCGACTCTAATCTGATAAAACCATGGTAAAAAAAAAAATAATAATAAAAAAAAAATCCTGAAAAAGCAAGTGGAGCTCACTCACTGCAGATCCAAAATGGCGTCTAGCTCCACCTCTCTGGACGTCATGGGGCTGAGCTTGAGTCGGTCCAGCCGTCCAGCTTTGTGTGGATCTAAAGGAGAATGTTTGATTGGGGCTTTTAGACCCACCCATTACACCCATTTTATCACATTATATCTAGAGAGGAGGAGCTGGACTTCAAGTTCACACTCTGGCTCTCTGGAAAGTGCTTCCGCTTAATTAAAAAAATAAAATAAAAAATGTTTACCGAAAATGTTTAAAGCAGGGAATGCAGTTTTCCCAGTTTCCCTAATCCTAAAAAAACTTTAAAATATCAGGGAAATTGAACTGTGACAATTCCAGGTCTGAAAAGTAATTTAATAAAACCGTAGGCCTAAGGTTGTTGGTAGGCTATGTAATATGGACATATATTTATTTAGACAATATAAATTAGCAGAAACAAGTTTCTTGATTTGAGGTTCTGTCAATTCAATAAATCAATGTAGGAAATATAGTTGTTAACTTTTCAGCTTACTTTTATTGGATCGAGATCTCTGAGAAAATGTCACAATAATAATATGCATATTACTTTTTTATTGAGTCAACAAACATTTCAATTCATTTTACGGCCATTTTACAGAAAAGGAGAAGGCACAGACATGGAAACACTATGATGTATGGCTTTCACAAACATTAAGGAAAATGTTTCTCATTGTTTAAATTCCTTAAAGATTGTATTGCTTTCCTCCAGAATGTAGACTGTCTCTGATCCCGGGCTTGCTCCTGCTGAGAGCTCCAAAAGAGGTGCTGTTACAGACTCATTCAGAATTCAGGGCTTTGATGACCAAAGTCACTAGAAAACAAAAAAGAAAACCGATTATCGAAACAAGGCATTTATCCTAAAATTATGAAAGGCGCATAATAATGTATCATCTCACCAGGTCAGTTAGTTAGCCAACATGATATTTTTTATCTCTCATGACAGGTCTAGCTTCTTCTGTGTTTCTGCGAGTTTGTCCTGTAATCGCTTTTTCCGCCAGTCCAAGAACTTTCTTCTCATTCTGTTTGCCTGCCAGCCTGCGACAAAACCCGCCGCAAAAGAAACGACTATAGCGACCTGTAACGTCCTCTCCGACAGATCGGCCATGTTCACCTCAGCAGCTACTACTGGAGGAAACACAGGACTGTAAACCGCGTGTGAAGGGAATCACGTGACATGAGCATAACCTGCTGCGCGACCGTGACGAAAATTTGTATGCCAACTGAAAAAAGACTACATCTACCACAACGATAAGAGTTGTAGGTCTTGTTATTATTAGGCTATATTATTAAAACATATACTTTTAAAGAATTACAATTAGCCTACAGTCAGGGGGTACAATGAGTAAACCAAACAAACAAACAAACATAAAAGACAAACAAAGCAGTGACAAACGTTGAACAAAAATGTGATAAGCACTTTGCAGCTTTCTTATTTTTCAAACCTAGTATTGTTTTTAGGTATTGTTGAATTTCTGCTCTTAAAATAAAAAAAAGGCTTGTTTCCTCCATATTTACATTTATGAATACTAAATTTAGCTAACAGAAGAAGCGGATTATTAAGTAATATTCCTTATAATAAGATTTGTCATAAAAAAAAAACAAAAAAAAAAAAAAACAAATAACACATTTTTAAAGCACAGTTGAAAGCTGGGCATGATATGAGACTTAATAAAGAAAAACAAATCTGACCAAAACAAACTGAATGAGGACAACTCCAAAATAAATGATAAAATATTTAATCATGTAGGCCTACAGTAGATCACAAAATATACAAAATTTATCAATATCATAATTAAATCTGTTCACAACATAATAATTACATGGGTAATATTTATAAACGAGTTTAAGGGAAATTTCTTTGATTTTGTTTGTGATTAAATATTTATGAGGAAGTTTCCAGATATTATTCCAAACCAGATTATCAACCATTCCAAAATGATACAGCAGGTCTGGGGACAATTTCCCTTTGAAACAAAGCCTGTGCATAACGATTTTTATTTTTAATAGGAAAGAGAAAAATGCAACCTAGCTACTTAGGCCTAAGTATCAGCAGGATCCAACCAGTATGGCGATAGCAACGGAAAGACATTTTTAAGAAGCATTTTTTTGACCAGAGGAAAGACCATCCATAACCACAACAAAATCTTTAGGAATAACTGGAAGATTATATTTAGAAAGAAATTGAGAATAGGACAACACACCAATAAGTCCTTCTAACAAAGCCTATAATTGCAAAACCAATTAATAAGAAATAAAGATTTAGATTTATACAGAATGTACTTATTATTCCAGTTAAAACACCTGATTGGAGAGAAATTATGTTTATTAAATTCCAGGAAAGAAGCATCTGTTTTTAAAAATTGGGTAGTTAGATTGGTAACTCTGTTGTCACAAAGCAAAAGGAGTATCTAGAATCCTATAAAGCTGGGTAACCTGATGATTTCACAATTATTACAGGCTGTTTTTTTCTCTTCGTATTCAAGAGTCAATGAATCACAATACTAATTTGTCTCACTTGTAAACTAATTTGTCTTGCCTGTTGATAATTTTCTGTATTCTCTGAAGGGCAGGATCACCTTTCAGGAGCACATTAAAGATAGTAGGCTACATCAACTAACATCATTTAAAACCATTTTCACAAAATTTACCTCTTTAACAGTGATTATTTCTTCTTCGGTTTCATTACAATTAGTATTTTTTTTAAGTAATGAGACGTTTCTGAAGGAATTTCCTCAATGGCTGAAGTCTGCAGATGAGAGGGATTCACGCCTTGCGGGTTGCTACGCAACAGCCGTCTTGTCACGCATGTGCGCGGTGCATAGTGGGAGTATCCGTGCGATGCTGAATCAGTGCAGGAGCGGAGGAGCAGAGGAGGCTGAAAATGGTGCAGCATCAACTAGGGGAAGAGGCGCAGTGGTCGCGCCAACGGAATTATGCGGCTCTCCTTAAACTCTCACTTTGAGATTTTACTCCGACGACAGAAGAACAGGTCAGTAGATAGTTTTTTGTTTGCCAAAAGGTTTTTTTAAACAAAGCGCTGCTCAGTAGCAATCAGCTTGTCCCGTGTATGTTGGCACCTTGTCAATAGTGATGCTGCGCTGGCCCAGGTGCCCAACCGGGCACGCAAAAGCAAAATGTCACGGTCCTGACAAACTATTAAGGCACGCGGGCCCGAGTCAAAAATAGAAACTAACCAATATTATTTATATATTATTTATGCTTAAGAAAAATCATGAATAATTTACATTACATGTCACATAATGCAGCTGTACGTCAACAGCTCACGTGGCCTGTCATTGGGAGTTGTAGTTTTTCAGAAGTTACAATGACCAGTTCCGTTTATGTCTATTGTCTCATTGATGAACGACATATCCCAAAGTGCTTTTCGCTTCAGGCTCGAGCAGGGGAATGTGCTGATGATTGTTAGGCATTGCCCCAATGGACGGTGATTAAACGATGGTTTGGGGCGGGGCTTAGCCTTCAGGGCTCCTCATTGGATGAGACCCTGTTTGGGTGGGGTCCGTGCAGACGGATCCTTTTGGCACTGCGGAGAAAGAAGCTGAACTGAAGATGTCAAGAGACCGAGCCCACGCAGTCCTGTGCTCCTGACATTTAGTTAGCTCAGAATAATGAAGTGCTCTCAGCAAATGCTTTATGCAAGAATGTCATCATCATTTTGTTAAATTGTAGGCTACGAGTTTTCCAGGCAAACAGGTGGAGAGCCTGCTGCATGATGAGACTGACGTCCTTTGATTGAATAATAAAGTCAGGTTTTTTGAATTAGGTGTCTTTCTGTGCATAAGATATTCAGCATAAAACACATTTAAATGCATTTCAAACCACTGACTGAACATTATTAAATGATCTGCTAAGCATTAAGTTAGGCCTAGGCTATTGCAAAAAAGTGGTATAGAATATATAATTTTATTGTACAATGCTAAAAATTGTTTTAAAATAAAAAGTATGAATTACTTTATAATATATACTGTTACTATATATAACTGGTATACTTATATTTTTGCAAAAAATGTTTTTAGTACAAAAGTACAAATTAACTTATAATTTATGAATAAATAGGCATTCCCAAAATTCTTTGCATGATTGATTGAGTTGTTTAGATTTTATTTAGAGTTTGTTTGCTTATTTTTTAATCATCATGCTTTTTGTTGAAAGCTTATTTGTTACAAAGTGTTTATGGTTACCATAAAAGCTATTTTATGTAATGAAATATATTTTAGGGAGAGTAAAATACAGTGAACAATATGACGGTCTTTACCTTTTTATGTTTGTAAATGTTCTGGCGACCACAGCTGCCAGTTTTTACTACACATTGCCATAACATTACAGTACTATGCATTATTTAAATAAATTATACATTTATCTGACATTGAAGCATTTACCATACATGTATTTTTACCTTATATGTGTTTTTGTAAAATAAGTTGATATATATTTTTTTTTCTGATGATATAATTATGAATAATTATGTATACTGAAATATCATGATTTGGTGTTCTGGATGTTAAGGGTGGAGAATAAGACGAGGTATTCCCTTAAATACCTACATGGCTATGCATTAACTTTCTCAGATGAAGGTGTCAGAAGAATTGTTAAGGTGAGAGTCTTTTCAGTTTTATTAGATCCATTTATAACCCATTGCATTCTTTAGAGAGAAATTTCAATATAGAAGGTGAGAGTTTAAGCATACAGAGTATGCGAATATAAACTGGAATCGCACTGGAAAAAATCGCTGTATCCATTTTTATATGGTTAAGTGCCTGTAACATTATGAGAGCGTGCTTAAGGGTGTAGTCCAGTTCTGACAGATAGGGCCTCTGTGTCTGACCGGCTCTAGTGGATACCTGATACTCTGCTGCAGACATTACAGAAATCTCGAAGAGGCGGTAGATTTTTTATTTTTTATTTTTTTCTTGTTCAGGGTCTTTGAATATGTGTGATTGTTTTCAGAATTCTCTGTTTTTGTAAACAACATGTTCAACAACGGTTTAAGAATGTTGGAATGAATGAAATGTACGTTATTTTGGCCAAATTTTTGCCTTTGTATGACCTTAAAAAGGGTTCATTGATTATGGAAAAAAGCCCAGGCCTAGATTATGACCTCCAGAGAAACATATGTCTGTTCCTTCTGGTGTCTGTATTGTATTCTTCATTCTGATAGACACAGTGCTATTTTTGTTGTTACTTGTCTTGCGTTGGATTGGTTTAGATACCTCTTTTGCGTTTAGAGCTTAAAGATGAATGTGTCAATTCATTATTATTTTAGGGGAATACTTTCATGTCAGGATTTAAACCAGGAAATACTCAGAAAGTTTAAGTAAAAAACAAATAAAAAGGTTATTATGAATGAATGAGGAATATGTAGGATAATTCATAATTAAAAAAAATAGCTGTTTCTATAATAGCTGTGACTCCACAGTGCAACATTTTAAAATGTTATATTGTGGCATGGTAGTTTAGCCATTGTGTGCTGTGTTTCAGGTAAATGGCAGGGTTTGGTAAAGTTCTGGCCAGCCGATGCAGTGCGTAGGGCCCGTTGTCCACGGCGACGAAAACATGAACGGGGCGGGGGAGCAGGTCGACATCTTGCCCCCCAACTGCTTGGTGAAAGAGCGCTGGAAAGTGGTGAGTGTGTGTTTGTCTCTATTCAGATGGGAGTGTGTTCATGGAATAAAGATGCCTAAAGTGTCTGTTCCCTTTGTTGCCTAGAATCGCACATGACAAAATTCTCCAGATATGACAGCAGATTCTTTTAAAACAACTCAGTCTGGCTTCTCTCCAAAATTCTCCCTAACCATTTGGTTGTGGGCCAGTTCATAGCACTTCTCCTTCAAGCAGATCTCCTCAGAAATGATTTATGGCTGTTTTACTTTAATAATATCTTTGATGGGGATGGTGGTGGTCCGTAAAACAGAGTCTGACTCATTTGTTACTGGCTTAAACTTAATCCTGTCATAACTCATGTGATAAAGCATGTTTAAGTCAAGATTAATCGTTATGTTTAGCGCATGCTATAGAATTGTAATGCACAGAATTGAATTAAATCTTTCTTAGGTTTAGTAATACGCCCAGAGATCGGTACAGCTCGAATAACTACATTTTGTGATACAATTTATTGCATGTAAAACAAATCCAGCCTGTTAC